TTTTTTTTTTTTTGCTACATTTAAGTACTTTTGCGATCTATAATACAACACACAGCATTAACACAACGTACAAAAAACACATACGCAATTATTTAAGCAGTTTATTTTAGTTTATTTTATTTTGCGACACACACGTTCGTCACTCATTTCAGCTCAGGGCTCATTGAAAACCAGCGCCACAGTCAATTGCGGCTGTGGCATAAGCTGAATGAAGTCCTTTTGCGTACTCCACAACCGCACACATGACAGTACAACATTTGTAGTTGTTATATTTAGTATTTTTCTGTTTTGCTCTTTGTTTGTTATTGTCTTATTTTATTTTATTTTAATTTTGTTAATTACGTCTTTTTGTTTTGTTTTGCTTGTCTAAGTGGTATCAATATTTTTTTTGTATCTATGTGGCGTTGTCTATTCTATTCTATTCTAAATTTCTTGGAACAACAATATGCTACATCTAGCAATGTCGTGCCTTAGATTTGTATGTACAAGAGATATACCCAAACATGTTAAATGTCATAAACCAATCCGTTTTGTAAAAGATTTTTATTCGCTTTTACTTTGTTTCCTACTGTTTATCATTTATAGTCAAAAATTAAAGATATAAAAACTATAAATCGGCGTGGATAATTATCAGATATATATTATATCGGATAGTTATCAAAGAAAATAAAATATATTTATAATTTCCAACCATTTGTTAAAACTGACGTCAAACGATAAATTAATCATCTTTGCCACAATACATTTTAAACCATAATGAAAAACCCTGTAATAAATTTGAGGTTGTTTTCTGTTCCACTGTTTGTGTGAATGCTTTTGTCTGCGGCCTCATAGTTTCCAATTAAATGAACCGAATCACGGTGGTACCCTTTGTTTGAAGAATTCGTTAAACGAGATGGTACTTCTGTGTCTGCTGATAATCGATGCAACCAACTTCAGTTTCTAAAGGGATCTCAAAGGCTATTGTAGCTGGAAACTTCGACTTTGGACGCAAACAATTAGTTTTGAAAACAATTGTAACAAATGCAATTACCAGTGACTGATTAAGACCAGCACAGGAAGACATAACTAACGAAAACTACCGTGAGTCTCTAATTTTACCTATTGCTCAAATTTTTGTTGAACAGAGAACACAGGCGGAGATTGAAAAACAGCACTCTGCTGAGCTTAAGTCATTTCCAAAGCTTAAATACTAGAAACTAAAACTAGGATTGACAACAAGCACTTGATGTATCGCCCAAAGTTGAGGTTGGACTCAAGGTGGTCTTTTATCGGCACGGATACATCTCGGCAAGTCGGAGTAAGGTGTAGGGGATTCCGTTTTCCGTTCCGTTCAGTGTTTTGAGGTTGTCCATTAACTTAATTTCCACAGCCATCTTATTGAATGTTCTTATAATTACGTAAAATTTTGGAGGTCCATTGAACAATTCCGGCAGCATTTTTGGCATAACCATGTCGTTGAATAAAAGGACAAAATGTCAAAGTAATCAGCCAAATTTACGAATAGGTGAACTGGTTTTTTTAAAGGATAATATGGTTCATCCACAATCCTGGCTATTGGGTCGCGTAGTAAGAATCTTTCTAAACAAGGACTCTAAAGTTAAAGTTGTTGAAGTAATGACGTCTGATAAGAAATGACATTCCAGGGCTTTTTCTAAAGTCGGTATATTGCCAATATAATTTTGTATTATACTGTAAGTAATTGCTACTTGTTATGAATACTAGAGAAATACTTGTTACAATATATGAAGTTATATATTTTGTTTAAATGTATTTTAAACATTTTAGTATTTAAGTTGTGACTCAAGTGTCAAAAGGTCGTTTATTTTAATTTCAGAGAGCACGTTAACTGTGGCTAAGGCCTATAATATCGTTGAGGGCTGCATGCCGGGAGATACGGCAGACGCTTCGCTCGCAACAATACTAAAGGAGCACACTCTAGACGCCTTAAAACTGTTATATCTATATTCTTGGAAATGGTTTGTTTTGTGAGTTATTTTGTATATTTAAGCTTTCTATAAATATTTAAAACCGAAAATCGATAACTGTATTTTTATTAAGTTTATATTTTATACATAATTATTTAAAATTTAGCGAGCGCATTACTTTTATGACAGGTTTACATCACTTTTATATATATAAATTATATAATATAATTTCATAACAATAAAATAAATTTAATAATATGATAATTTATAAACTATAAATTATCTAAAAACTGTCTACAAGACTAAATAAAAACTGTCTACATTCTACAAATGGTCTTGTAGCATTCGAGAAGGGTTACTTGAGAAAAAATATAAGAATCACTCTTAACACTACCTACAGACAGTTTCTCGAAGCACTCTTGTGATCTATTAATAAAGTTGCGCCCACTTTTACTTTAAATTATCTAGAAACTTTCTTCGAGATATCTTGAGGGAATTTGAACTCTTAAAATATTCAATCGAATTAAATTCTATATCTAAATATATCTTATAGTATATATTTAGATATGGGTGTGCTGCTTGGGTAATATAACAATTCAAATGCGATATTATTTGATTTATATAAAATTTAAATGCTTTTTGTACTTTGGTTTGATTTTATTTAATGATCTCATTATTATCGTTGAATCACCGCCGCGGAAGCTCATAATTAAAGGACCACGTAATCGGAACATGTCATGTCTAGGGATGTAGTGTCAGTTTATCTATTTCTGCCGCCAGGAAGTAATGTGAGCTTTACTACGTTTCAGTTTTGAAGGATAACTAGTGCTGGTGAAATACCTACGCGTACCTGTAACGCGGGACTTGGCAGCTTGAGTCTCAGGGTTACGGCCTCTAAATCTTTGTGATTTAAAGCTCTAAGTGGCACTGTATCCATAACACGCCTGTCCATAGGCGTTTCGCTTACTACCAAATGAACATGTTCAATGAAATTGTTCATCTCGTCATAAAAAAAAACCTTAAAATTTTAATGGGACTAAAAGACATATCTCAAAATTATTTAAAAAAAATAAAAACCCGACTGCAAAAATATTTAGCTGGTAAGATAAAAAAAAATTCCCCCTAAAAAGTAATTTTGATTAATTTTTACAGCCTATGACACACCCATAATCAAGACGACACTTTAGGGCGCTCCCTCACCGAGAACCTTCGCCTGTATATGTCAAAATCCATCAAGCCGTTTAGGCTGCACAGCGTGAAAAAGAAATGGACATACATACACATACACTAGAAAAACATAACCTCGGCAGTCGGGTAAAAAAACATCGAAATCGGCTCAGAAACGTCGGAGTAACTGTGTAACATACACACTCCTTTTTTGAAGTCAGTTAAGAAATACTACAACAATCATACAATTTTTCAAACTTAACCATGCAATTTTCACCATCAAGATCTCAAAGGGTTGTTAACTTCTGGAATTCGCCTGGAGCTGCGATCGATAATAGCCATTCGAAAGGAATTACGGCAAGAAATATTGTATCCAAATTACATAGCTATTAATCTGGTTTTATATTATTCTTGCTTCGGCAGTCGGGATGATGCGATAGTTGACCTGATAGTAAACTCCTAATAATACGTATCGATGTATAAATATGTGTTAAACAGATAAAAAAACGATCGTATGCGATCTTTGTAATCAATACTTTTAAATGGGGTACCTTTGAGGCGTATTGTACAGTTTAGGTACTTGGGTCATATTGTGATAGAGGACCTAAAGGATGAGGGAGACATAGAGAGGGAGCGCAGGGCGTTGTCGGTTCGAGGCAATATGTTGGCTCACAACTGTACAACTGGAGTGAAATTCACACTCTTTAGAGCATACTGCCAGAGCTTCTACACGTGTGCTCTATGGTCCAACTTTACGCTGAGATCATACGGTGCCTTGCGAGTCCAGTATAATAATACCTTCAGGGCCTTGTTGAAGCTTCCCCGTTTCTGTAGCGCATCTGGTATGTTTGCGGGTGCTGGCATGGATGATTTCCATCATGCGCAAAATGTCTACTCGTTAGTACGAAGAGGAAGAATCATCTATTATCTTCAGGACAAGATGATAGCAGACAGGATGGCTGCAGCTGTGTTCCGGAGGTTCATTGAGTTGCATGTTCTACGTGTGAGTCAGTGAACCATTTGGGCGGCTGGGTACGTCTTGTTTGTTATATTTGTAACTAATTATTAATATTATTAGGTATTATTTTTGTAATTGAGTACTAATCCTAATACTAACATAGTTATAAGGTGTCATGGTACTAACTCATTAATTTGTATGGACTGCATTGTCTGAAATAAATTATTTTTATTTTTATTTTATTTTATTTCTACCTAATTATAATAATAATAATAACGCACACACTCAACATAACCCCGCACTAGGGAAACCCTGTGTCGCGGGTACCATGGACACACACATAGACAACCACAAATTACATCCAAACTCACGAGAGAAATAATTGTAGGCCATACAACTATTTCTCCCGGCCCGGGAATCGAACCTGGGACCTCTGCGTGGCAGTCCGGC